CAAACAAACTCCATTAGATGGTCAGTTTACATGTAATGTCTTCAAAAGCCAGTGTTTGTGGATACAAGTGCTCATGCCTACATGTTTAGATCTCATTTCAGCTTGTGTCTCTAGAAAATTATGACTTGTGACTTCCTGCCACAAAGTTCACTTCAGGGTTAAGGCCCAGGAAACGCCACACTCACTGTAACTCACACAGCTCAAAGTGACAAACATCACAAAAAACTGCCCCCCCGAAGTGCCTCCCAGCTTATAACTGTTCTGATCCTGTTACTATTTCAACCTGACAATAGGATGTGTGCAAAGCCTGAAGAGAGGGGACTATTCACGTCATGGGTAAGCGGTTTGCAATTCATATATAGTGTATTTAAAGGCTGTTACGTGGGGAAAGTGAATACCCTGTTGTTGTGTGTGAGTAAAGTCAGGAGTTGTGAGGTAAGGGTCAGGGCAGATCCAAGGGGAATCCCCTTAATGTATTTTCAGCCTGTTTGTGACTGCAGTCAAGAACATGGACTGGTCTTATCACAGCAGATGTCAATGTGAACATACACTACCCTTCATCTAGCCATTCAAAACACAACAATAATGTTTTACAATATTCAGTCTTTGTGGTTACGACATTGATTTGCTCTCTAAAATGCAATGTGTTTCTTATTTATTCATTTTAAAACTTAATATTAATAAATTACTAAATTACAAACTCATATTTGATTAAACAGGCTGGAAAAAACCCACATAAGCCTCTATTGATCTGTCACCAGGGAAGAGACATATTGATCAAAGCAAAGGTCGAAAGCTTTTATATGATCCCCAACTAAACAGTACACTGTATGCATATCTAATCTGCAGTAACATGAGTTCATGCTTTGGGCAACTCTGTAAAACTCACTTTGGATAAATACGTCTTTAGATGTTTGACACATTTGCTGACAACACCGCCCATTCTTACACAGTACATAGCAAAGTGTATAAAAGTCCAATCCAGAAATATGTGGTGTTATGTGGCAGACAGCAGTGATATAGCTCTTTAACATCATAACTGTGAGGTCACGCCTCAATCATTTTGATGAATAGCTCTGCCATTTGCCCATGTGCTTCCAGTCACACTGGCCAGTGGAGGCTCATTAGCCGGCTAGTGAGGCTAGTGATAGAGGTTGTTGCTGCACAGCAGATGTCAGTGGGGGTCTGTGAACCTGCGGCTGCAGCCAAAGGAGGGGTCAGCCTCTAAAACTGTGGACTGCCACGGAGGAGACAGCCGCCTTAATCAGCTGCAAAGTTCACAGCAGCACACAGCATCCAATTAACCAGTAGATAAATCACACAGCTGACCACAGAAGAGTATCTGAGTTTAGCTGCAGCACTGTTTGAATTTAAGTGCGTCTGTGATGATTCTAGTTACTGTCTATTTGGGTGATAGCTTTGATGCTACTGTATACAACATACAACAATTTAAGATAACAAAAGAACAAATGATGGGAAAAAAGTTGTGTTTGTATGTGGTGAGTTTACATATCCACACATTTTGTCACTAGTCGCTATATTTGGTAAGATTCTAGTCACCTTTGTAATCTTACTGGTCCCAGTTAAATAGACTTTAGCTCTGTATTTATTAGCTAATAGTGATGCATAATATTTGCAAGACACATTTTTGTTTTTGTAAATTTTAAAATGAAAAAATTGCAAAAGGTGGCTTAGCACTAATTCTCCAGTCAGGTACCATTAAACAATTGAAACAATGGGATTATTTGCAAGCAGCAGTCAAACCTTAAACAAACGTGACGGAAATGTTGCATTTTTGTTGTATTAATTTCAGGAACCTTGTAGTCTCCTTATCACTCCACACAGATCGGATGTTTCTGCCATAACATTTCTTCTCTTCAGCCGATGTCAACAGTATCATGCTTTATTACAGCATGGTGTATTCACTAAATCTGTTGTGGTTTGTTAGGTTTTTCTTTAATTGATCAGTGATCCACCTCAGCCAAAATAATAAAAATTGCCATATTTCGACTTCTTTTTTCAAATTTAGCTTTGCAATTACATAATTCCTAATTACATTTTAGTAATTCACTTTTACCATGGTGAAATTAAATTAAAGCTGCTGGTTCCTGGGCTCAAATCACAATGGAGCATTCACTAGTATGAAATACAACAGCAATTAGTTTCTAATAAAAAGGTAATTTTAACCAATGACTAATAACTTTGCCCAAAGGCTTTCGCTTCCCCTTCTCTTGGGACCAGAATGGAAATAACCCTAATGGCTTTTGGTGCTATTTGTGTTTTACCCCTTTAAAGGTTTGGCTGTCACAGCAGAGTTGCAATTTTAAATGGAAACAAAGATCAGTCGATCAATCAAAGTAGTCGAACCAGATGACAGGCGAGCGCTGATGGAAATTATGGAGAAGATGCTGTATTCAAATCACATGCTGATCTATAAATGAGACCAGTTAAAGTATGTGTCTGGTTAAACAGCAGGCAGAAAGGAGACAATTTAAAAAACATTTACATGTTATAGCACCTAATGGGAATAGTGAAGATGAACTTCACTGTTAATTAGTCCTATCCAACACAAACTGCAATTGGCAAAGTGAGGCAATGGGTTACAACTTGTATTAACAACAAAGTAACTAGTACATTTACAATAGCAACTGGCAGAACAGAGTCAAATTGTCACACTGCATAAACAATTTAAGTAGGCTACCAGCAGCAGGTTGTGAGTGGTTGTAGAAACAATGACAAAGCAGTGTGGTATACACAATCCCATTCAAGAAAAAACTCTGGTTTCACCTTCTGCGTGAAAACCCCATATAGCCCATTCAATAGCTGGCAAGCACTTTAAAATGCATAAGGCATTCCTAATGAGCAAAAACACCAGCATGACTCGAGCCGCACAGATGAGTCAGCGTGTGTTTATACACTAATGGCTGCATATTGTTTTCTGTCCATCACTGTGTGACTAGGCATGCACTCGATTGTCTTATAGCAGCTGTAATCCTAAAACAATTCCAGCAGCTGTTATATGTCTGAGGTATTAAGCAGCCATTCAGCTGATCTGAAAATACTTGGAAAAAAGTTAAAATGATAATCAAGGAGCTTTGTTAACTGAGGGATGATTGGAAAACTGCAACTGGCCGAGCACACAAATTAGCCATTACTTGAAGGGAAATGGACTGTGGAGTTTAATTAAAATGGTGGAACGCTTCAAAAACACAAAAAACAAAACAAATATTCTAAATTTTACCATATTCACCTTAACCTCAGCAACTTTTTACCTTCATTTTATCCCAGTTTGTGACGGTCAATAGCGGCTGTCCTTTAACTCACTCACTCCTGTCCTGCCTGACACAGATCATGTGATCCCTCTCCATTCTCCAATAAAATGTAATTATCATCCCCTGGTGGATAACAGCCAGCTCTGGCCTTCGAAGGTGACGCTGTGGTTACATCATTGTATGGATTACTGCTAGTTCTGCGGCCATTTAATCACTTTGTACCATAATTTAACCATTTGTCATTCAGTTGTAGATCCCCGCTACTCCCTGTGGATTTGCCCTCTATTAACCGCTGTTGGCCTGGCCCGAAGACTTCCGCTGACCTTAGTGGGACTTCCCAGACGAAGACATAAAGAATAAGATGGCTGTCCGTTGACGCGTGTAAATCATATAGATGAATGGATGCAACAAAAAATAGAGGCCACATTTTCTGGCAAATCAGCAAATAAAAATAAAAAACAGGTGCAATCACAATTTCACCAGTTAAATGACTTTAATAAAAAAAAGAAATTGGCAGGTAGCATATTTTTAGGTATACCTTACTTTTATTTTAACTGATAATCATCCCCTTTCTAGTAGACAGTTATGCAAATTGTTCAACTTCAGCCAGAGATTTACCAACATTTGGCTTGTGCTTGGCATTTGTTCCCCACCCTGATTAAAACTAAAGCTACGTCTTAATATATGACACTGAAATAAGTCACTGTCTCTATGGACAAATGAACTGTTTCCTCTATGGAATGTGAGAGTGCTTTTAGCTGCCCTGCGCTGACTATGTTTTTCTTTAAAATCTAGGCTGTAGCTTTTAAATGAAGGAACAGGCTGTGTCCAGTCAAGTGGAAAATCACTTTCTCCTTGTCACCACCCTGGAAAAAAGGGCCTGTGTTCTGGGGGAGACTATAGCAGAGAACAACAGCACCGTAATTTGAGATAGCATAGAGAGGCACCAAAGAAGAAGCATCTGCAACTGCAGTGAGACTTTGGAAAGCAGAGGAAGAAAATTAGACAATATCACACCAAACAACCCATAAATTGTAAACCTATGTGAATGTTTGCTACACAAAAAAACCCCATTCTCTCCAAATCAGATTACCATAACGTCTTGTCTGTTTTGCATACAATCAAAAGCTTGTTATCACATGCTAGGTGCATTTTTAGTAGCCTATGACAAATGCTCACTTCTCGCCACCTGCGGCATTTGTAACGGTCTCCAGAGCCATCAAGGTTAATTGGAATCAGGCGTTAAAAGACGTTCAATATTCTAAAAGTGACAACAAATTATGTTAATGGTGGTTTGAAGTCCTTGTTATCAAGGTGGAATCAATCATGCCCACGTCCCTTGAGGTCAGCAGCCATACATAGCAATTAGCAAACGTGTGTGTGTGTCATTGTGTGTGTGTTTCTTTGCGTGTATCAAGAATGTTTAATGTCAGACAGAAGCTTATCCTCTCCATAGAAAACAATCAGAGGGTCTACTTCGAATCTTACCAACTTGATAATCAAGATCCTATTAATCAGAGTCAGACCGATGTCTGACCATATATGTCGCCTTGTTTCCTCCCTATGGACTAAAAAGAATATCGATTGTATGTAAATTACATTTGTGCAAGATAAAGAGCTGGACATTGCTGTCGATGTGTCACTGCAGCCTGACACATGATGTACTCCATGAGAAATAAATAAATAATAAACTGGGACTTTCTGTGTTCCTATACTGCTGGAGCAAACCTGATAGCCGTTTTCTCTGTGGCATCTGGTTCATCTGCTGCAGGAAGATCGTCAGCCAGAATCTCCTCAGGACTTCGTAGGTCATTCAGGGGGGGCTTCTGCTCTTTGCCTTTGATCCCCATCCCCGCCGTGATGGCATTCCACAAAGCACTCTGGGACTTTGAGCCTGCAAAAAGAAAAAAGTCTTTGTTTTGTTACAGTCATTTGGTATAGTGCCATTAATAGAACTGCAACTTGTTTACCAAGTGGTTCTTTGTATACATTGTGTACATTTATACATAACAGAACTGTGACCACTGACGTTCATGTTCATGGCTTTCTCATTCAAAGGGAGTGTTGACAAGTTCAGAGCCTTTGTAATGCTGCCCCCATGTGGGTGTATGTTGTCAATGCTAGGTAAATTATTGTAGTTACTGGTAAGTTAGTAGTAGTAGTACTCGCACAAGTAGTAGACATTTAAACTTAGAGGAGGGTTTATCAACCTTTATCAGCTCACAAACCCCATCTAGATCTGACATTCTCATGGACTGAGTAAAGTAGATGTGTCATACTTTTGCATTCTCTTTTTAAAATAATAAAGAGAACCAAGTGTATTAAAAAGATAATAATTGATTTTTTCTCCATTTTTACCTTAAGTAGAAAAAATCTCTTGATGAACAAAATTCCATTCCCCTCCATTTTAATGAGGGTGTCAGAATGAATTTCTCAGTGGTTAATTTGTCATTAACTGAGGGTAAACCACCCTTTAATACTTTGATCTGAAAGGTGATATTCATTTAAATGAATAAATTAAGGGAATTGTCTAATAATGAAGCCTGACTAATATAGAGTGAACAGTATACTTACGTGCAAAACTGGCTTGTGGTCTGGTGGAGCTCTCCCCATCTTCATTTGCCACTGGAAAAAGAGAAATATATGGAAGAGAATCAAGTGATGTCATGCTTATGTGAAACTCTTAAGCGGTTACCAACAGCTTTACAATCATCTGTAACTTTTGTTTCGTTGTTACACTTTCTGTGTTAACAATTTCTGATATCTACTACTAATTACTATGAAAGCCACATTTTCTTCCACATGTTTCAGAACTTATTCCTTTCAAGTCACAAGTTCAGATTGTTACAGGCATTATCACACAAACATATCCTATTCTGCACAATTATTTTTAATGAGACTCTTCACACCCAGCCTTCACTGGCTTTGCTGTTTATTTCTTTTTATCATATGTACATGTCTGTGTCTATATTGTTATGTAGTTTTTTTATTAACATTAAACAAAAGATGGTGAGTCTTGTGCAGATGTGTAATACGGACAGAGTCAGGAGGGTTATTTACTGTTCCATTATATCCTAAAATTGCCTTGAAGTGTGATTTACGTGATGGTGAAAGTACTATAATTGTTGCTGTCACTTCAGAGACTGGTGCCCTGCTGGAATCTCTGCCCACTAAACACTGCACACAGTATGTAGAGTTCACAGAGAATGGTGAATTATACAAATATCTAGCACCAGTGTTGAGGGCAAAAATATATACAATTAAATTAATGAACAGGTTACAGGTACAGTATGAAAATAGAAACTGAGTGATACAGTGTGAAGCAGGCCATCTTATTGAACTTTGAACTTGACCCTGTCAATATACAGCATCAGAAGACTCTGCTGGGTTCCACTGTGAGAAATTGAAGAACAGAAGAAGACAAATGCACACCTAAACATTTACAGTGCACATCTCAGAACAACTGTTCCTGGTTTCTGTTGTAACACACTGATGGCATGCTCAGAAAGTCGTTGAGAGCACAAATGAGTATTAAGTGATATACAACACTACATGCCTGAACTGCTGCATGCATTCACTGCAGCTGCAGTCAATGTTCATGACTATGTTCCACATTTCAGTGGCGACTACTATGGCTATATGTTAAGTTCCTCAAGATGCAGTTCCCCTATTGTCCACTAGATGCTCGCTCCATAAAACTCCATAAAGACAGTAAGGAAGTCAAGGAAAACCAGTCCTCTAATAACAGAATGTCAATTCAAAATGCTTTCCACAAACTAAAAAAAAAAACATTTTATTAAGAGCGAGGTTAAAACACACACTCACATTTATATTACCATTTTATATTTCCTTATGCCTTTTTTATATATTTTCTCAATAAACAGGATGAGTCAAATTTTGTAAGCAAACAAAAAGTTAACTACAGCCCTTCGATGATTACAGAAGTTTTCTAATTGGTAACAGCAAGCACCCCTACCAACCACGCTGATGCACTGACTCTGACCCTCAGCCTGGCCCACATAGGACTAAATCCTGGATTGAGACGAACATCTGCATGCTCAAAGCTTAGTTCCACAACCTGTGGATGATCAGGCTTATCCCAAAAAGGTCAACTGACCTAATTATGGCCTTTGTTGACCCTGAGAGTGATGCCAACCCCGAGGATCTGAAGAAAGAAAATACCCTTCTATCTATCCTGTAGATCTCTGAGATAAAAGAGCTAACTGAGACACCATTTCCCAAAAACATTTTCTAAATGGCCCAGCTGTCTTCAAATAAAGACTTGTTTTTTTCATTTTATTTATTCTAGAAATTATTTTTTCCTGAAAATTCAGAGACAAAATACTTTAATATTCTGTTACTACAATTAAAATCATCTACACTCTCCCTCTCTCTCTTCAATTTGTTTCAGTAACTGTATTTGTAGTACTGTCTGTGTGGTCTATTGTGAGACTGTATTTTTCCATTTGTGTCAATGGTTGAACCTTTTAAGGCAGCAAGGGAGCAGATAAGAATGATGAAGTAGTTTATAGTTTATACAGTCCTTTGCTATATCATTTAAGTCATTATTTTTGTCTTACAATAAACATCTTTTTGTGCTAAATTATGCAGCAAAGGTGGGTTGATGATCCTCATAATAATGGACACCTATGCGCTGTTAGAGGACATGGGCATACAAGTTTTAATTTGGAATATTCAAGATTTATATGTATGTTTGTGGGCCTCATTAAATCTCTCCCACTGGCAGAGTATAACCTCTTCATCATCCTCCTATGATAAATATAAGCAATATTGTTTGATTTAGCTTTATAACTATAATCAGATTGTCCACAGATCTCCCATGTACAGTAAATTAAACCATCAATAACAGCTGGAAGATGAACTAGGTTAGATGCCAAAGTCAAAGTTCCAAGTTTTGTCAAAGGTGCACAGTGGCAGGGCTCAGGCAGCAAATACTGTCAAAAAGATGAATGTTAACTGTAAATATAATAAACCTACTTTTTAATTTGGCTCTGATGAGCTGCCAGTGCCATCAGGAACGCTTTCAAACTGGTTTGGCAGAGGCATAGCTCTTTGGCCTCTGTGGGAGGTGACACTGGGGGCTTCCATCTGATTTTCAGTCACGATCCTTGTTGGAACTAAGTTTTTTGGTTTCTTTTTAATATCTTTCCAAGCATGCTTCAAGTCATTTAGATTACAGATGAATAACTAACAAAATGCACCCTAGTAAATGCCATCCTACCAATTAACCATCGGCCTGTTTAAAAAAAACCAAGTCTGGTAAATGTTGAGAGAGTAGACTATACGCTTTATGTGACAAGTGCTGTACACAGTTGTTTTCCCACATAAACTTTATTCGCTTTCACTGCTGCTGATGTCCTACTATTTTCCAAAAGGTATTCATTAATATTTGTTGCTCCACTGAAGTGAAAGCTCAGCTCATCTTTCACATGGCAAATCCTTTTATGAGTGTTTTTTTTAATGTTCACCATGAATGAGCTTTAGTTTGAATGAACATTTTTAGATTTGGCTGAACAAATTCTTGTTTAGAAACTAAAAACTTGTCTAGTTTAATCAATTCAGGGTTTAGGATTTATGGTTTGTTACATCACCCTCTTGGAATACCCTCTTTTCGCTGCTTTAGCCAATACCAATGAAGACAAAGCTGTAAAAACATCCAAAACATTAATTAGATAGATTTAATTGTTGTAAAAAAGTCTGAATACTAACGGTGCACTCCACCAATTTTACACATAAATGTCTGTTTTCTCTGAGGATTATTACTCAGCCTGTGAAAATAGATCAATAATGTATTCTGTGTATTAAAAAAAGACAACAGAATATTTTCACAATAGAAACAGAAAAACTTCATTACAGACTGTGGAGTTTGAAAGATGTGGACCTTTACAAGGTAGGAAAGGTCTAACAAAAAAATGCTATTAAAGATGCTATTAGTTATTAGGGAAATATAGGACTCAGCAACAATTTGTTTATAATTTGTATGCCTTTTTTAGCTGCTTTTTATTCCACGCATTCTTCCGAGTACTAACTAATTCAACAAAAAATAATTAATTTCACTTTCACTTTCAAAAATCAATATTTTGACTATCTAAAGTCAGTTCAGTCATTTGGGGAAGAGAGACAAAACAAGACTGACATATTTTAATTAGGGTTATTATACAATGTGTGTCAAAGCTCTATCATTTATAATTTCCCAAACTTTACTTTGGTTCATTTGATACATTTTACTTTTCATATGCTGGACTGACAATTAAAGGCAGATGTTGTTGTTGTTGTTGTAAAATCTGTACACTTGATCAACAGACTGTTACTACTGTCTGATACTTTACTATGTCTTAATTATATTATTGTTTATTTGGGAATATTAAAATTATATTAAGAAGTTTTGACACTGAGTGGATTATCCTGGAGAGTGCATGAACTATCTGTGCATGAAATATGGAGGTCAGTGGGGATTTTGAATAATCTCAGATGTCTGAGGTGTGATGCTCGTAGGTAGAGTGTTAACACCTTGTCAACAACTTTTTTATTATGTTCTTATACATTATATTACATGCATACTGCACTAAGATACACAATGGAGGATAATTAAGCTTATTAACTTCATCTGGGGAGGTTTATTTAAGATTGCTTTTCATACAGGGTTAAAAGATAGTGAACATTTTTAGGAAAATATAGAAGAATGTAAAGTCAATCGGATATATGTGTTGTTATATATGATATGTTCGGAAATAACAGTCTTTACTATAACATTGTAAGAAAAACAGACAAATACAACATTTGTTTCCAATGGACCCTTGCTTTGTGCAAAATTGCCACCAAGTAAAAACTGTGTTTGTCATCACAAAGACACAAATTCAGGCATTAACTAAATAATACACAATCTTCTTCTGTAATTTTGAAGATGAAATAAAACTTTGAAGGATTAAACAAAATGACAATGTGTATGTGTAAAACAAAAAAAAAGCCTGAATGCTCTTAACTCTCCACAAGTTTTCATAACATCAACAAAAACATAACAACGCTAACAAGCCTAACACATGACAAAACACCACAGTTGGAACCCGAGTAGAGGCTGCCAGCTACAGTTGAGGCTCAGAGTTTAATAGAGGAGTGAACACAAGGTGTCCAGCCAGGCAATGAGGTACCAGCGCTTAGGAGTCACGCTTCAGAGGAGGTGATTGGCAAAACGCTGTGCAGACTGAAACCTAGGCCCAGTGAGCAATTGATTGTGACACTTGTAGGTTACCATGACAACTACCATGCTTGTGGACAGTATGGCTGTGATATAGGCCACATGTGATCGAGGCAGGGTTTTTTTTAGAGGTAACAGGATGTGTCCATGCAAGCAGAAAATCCAAAGTCTATTTTCTGTGGGATCATAAAATCTTTTAGGGCGGCTTTTAATGCTTTTAAAAAGGTATATAGAAATTATTTGAAAGCGTCTCTCTTCCTGTTTTTGCCTCCTCATGCCCTCAGCATTGAAACCGCTTCTTATCAGTATATTCATATCATCCAGATATATTTAGGAGCTCTCTGAGAGGTGGGCAGTGAGTGCCATAGACCAAATATTTCCTGTGTCTCACACTGCAGTATGAGCTTGA